CCACTGAAATGAACATCATCCCCCAACTAATAGTAGTAGTAGTAGCTTGTGCAGATTGGAGAATGAATCACGGAAGAATTAGAAGATGCAATGTTACGTCAGGTGAAAGAACTGAATGTAGATGTGTTTAATAAATAAAGATAAATAATCAGGACAATCAAGGATTTGCTGAGAAATATTTTTTGTTATCTAGGCTGTTCGAGGAGTTATTTGCGACAACGTTCTTCAGAGAATGGAATAATTAAAGGTGATAATTGATCAATACCATAATCAAAAAATGCTCCGACCATGTCATGTCTATGTAGCCCATTCCTTTGCAGTCTGTAGTGAAGTCAATAATGTTCTGGATAAAAATAAATCAATTATCCATAATTTTTTTTCGATAATCTTTTAACGCAGTCTTTATATAAATTATTCCATGTGATTGGAGTTTATGATACATTAATCTCTGATTGCTGAAGGGAAAATAGAATTAAAAAACATATTAGTTTTTCATTGAGGTGTACTATTATAACCGTTTGTAGGGATTTTCTATTTAATCGACATTCAGAGATTATGTAAGGCAGTTTATAAGCCAACTAGTTTCTGATAAAATCGTATCAATATGTGTATCCCACTGAGTTAGTTGAAATGTTAAACCCATGTTTTTTATGAATTTGAATATTGTCAAGGTTTAATGTCGGTAAGATCAGATTCCTTTCAGTAAAAAGTGGAAGTGATTCGGTTTTCAGCGGATTGGAGGAAACAAACCATTTCTTAGCCCAATTGTTATGTATTTCCATGTCACGATTAAGTACTTCAGCTCAAACATTTCGGTCATGAATTGTTAGGTATAAGCTGGTACCACCTGCATATACATCTAGTCGAATGTTTAAATTGATGTTCTTTATAATGTATTTCATCTTAATAAAGAAAAGTAAATGGTCCCAGGACAGAGCCCTTTGGAACAACAGCGGGAACAGTTTTAGGCTCAGATGAAACTCTTGTGACAACAAAGCTTTGAATTCTGTTATTCAAGTAATCTTGAAACCACAGGAGCGCCATGTCACTCTCTGTCAAAAGCCTTGATGATGTCACAGAACACTGCCCTGCACTGCTCTTGATGTATGGCTGGACTAGAGAAGCGATTAAGATCGATTAGTGGATAAGTAGTGCAATTGCAGTGTAAGAAATCGCTTTGCAGATTAGTAGTAATAGAATAGACTAAGAAGTTAAAGATATACTTATATGTATACATTTTTCAAAAAGATAGTATTTAGAAGTGGAACTGGTCTATATTTGGTACAATTTGATGAGTCACGCTTCTTTCAAGTTAAAGAGAGTGCAGATAGGAGATAAATGAACGATTTCTGTAGTTTTACATTAATATGGTCTGGGTCAGAAGCTTTTGTTACATCGATACATGACATGATGTCTTCAACCTCCTCAGAGGTAAAGTGCAACTGACAAAGTGAATTGTGATTTTGCTCTAAGAAGTGCATTAGAGGTGTCTAGCTGCGATTCAAATATGAAATATCTGTTGAAACAGTCCGCCTTGTCAGTTGAACTAACAGTTGCTAGTTGATACCAGCATTGTTGATAAGAGTTTCCACCTATTGGATTGCTTATTCATGAAATGAATGATGTTATGTCCTACTTTTTTGCAAAAAATGTATTCATGTGGAAAGAAGAATACGGTTTGATGGTTCAACTGTCCAGTTCCTATGGACTTCCATTAAATCAGAGATGACGGCAAAACACAGCCCATCCTTCCTGGGCGCAAAACATAGGACCAAGAAGGTCACTATTTAAACGTCTATACGAATGGCATCATTTGAAAGTTTCTGCCAATGACAAAAGTTGTATCCTGTAAGGGCCCCCAAAACAAAAAGCTTTTCGTGGGAATCTGTGTTCCAGGAAACAATTCAAAATATGCGATTTATTTAGTAACAATCATGTAAGAGAAAGTCGCGCGTGTTATTGGTAATAACTTTTTCTAAATCATTGCTCAATCTCCGAACATGGTAGCATAATTATGATAACATGGGTATATTATGTAATCGACTGACGTGTATTGTGTTTTATAACTTTAATTGTGTGGCATAAAAACATTCAAAATTTCATGTGTGCAATCAATAAAACATAAAGCGTAATATCATGTAATCGCCTTCAGCCATATAAGACTTCACAATATGCACTAAAACGGTTTATTTGTACTAAATTT